CCCCCCCCCCCCCCCCCCCGGGGCCGTTCGCCCCGTTTTTTTTTTTTGTAGAAAGATCGCCCCTCTCTCTACCTTTGAGCTACCCCGGGAGGCGTTCTCAAAGGATATTTCGGTATTCATGTACGATTATCCTTGGTGTACTCTGTTTACTGATTTTTTACTTCGTGCGTATTCTTTGTTCCCTTTCAGTCCCATTGTTTGCCTGTTCCTCTTTCGTTCCTGAATACAGGCGTAGCCTATGATCAAGCCAGGCATGGACTACATCATTATGTCGACGCCGCCATCCGATTTGTTTTGCGTACGAATGAGGGCATGCACCTTCCGTCTTTTATGCTTGTACTCTTGAAGTCTTCATACGCTGCTGACGTACGAAACAAGGTGATTGCTTGTTGCAAGGTGTGTTGGCGCGAGCGAGCGCTTTTTACTTTGATGCGATTTGGATGGCTGTTTTGTGGGGCAAGGCGACTGGAGTACCATTGTTGCTTGCAAAGAGGGAGCACGTGTTTCAATTTGTCTGTGCAATTGGTTTGATTTTACGCACTAGTATGGATATCGCACCTTTTTCTTTCTCCTGAACCTTGTACTCGTGGCCCTTGCGGGCACAAAGCATTTGCCTCGACGTGGAGGTTTGCATAGATTATGGAGGTGCGGTGGCTGTCGCCATCTTGTATCCACCAACGATGATGTACTCTTTGCACAACAACAGCAGTAGCTTCCACATGCGATCGTGCATCAACCGCTAGGCCGCCGCACAACAGACACACTCGGGCATCAACACCGCTTGTATGCTGAGCAGGTTCATGGGTTGCCATTGCTAAATACAAAAATCTTTTCTGGCGCGTACTAAATAGGCCGTTTTCAAACCTCTTATTTGGCTCGGTACAGTGTACAGAAGTGTTTGCGTTTTTAGCGAATATCGAAATGCCACTGCCTGAAGCATGCGTGCATGAGGAGTCCGTCCCCGCTTCCGTTCTCAAGCTGAAACTATGAGCAACAAATAGAGCCAGCTTGGGACTAGCAACGCCGACGATATTCGTCGGCTTGCTTTCAACAACAGGTCGCGGTTTTCGTGACGCAGCTCGTTCATCACAACGAGGTGCTCCAACTCTATGTGGCAACATCAAGGATGTTGCCGCCGAGAGTGGCGAACGAGACAAGTCTGATTGTAGGTACCGAAGGTCAGACAGAATGCGGGAAAAGATCTTTTAGAGGTGGTGACCTTGTGTATCATCACGGCCGGTTGGGCTGAGTAGCTAAGCGATCCAGAACGACAGACGATGTAAAGCACGAGTCGCGAGATCGATCCCGGCGCTAGAGCCGCTTTTTTCTTCTTCTGCATTTATTTCCCCCCGTGAAGTTGTCGCTCTTGTACTCTTGCTTCATCACCACCACCGCCGCCAATCACTTGCTGTTTGGGCGCTCACTGCCCCCCTGGAGGCGAGTCTACTTGTCCATGCCCGACCGCGATTGTTCGCCGCGCCGCGTGGGCACCTTGCAGTCGAAACGTCGCTAGACATATCCCGTTCCGCTACAGCCTTGGCGAGCCTTCCGGGCAGGGAGTTGTTTGTGAGCAGGTACCCGGTCCAGCCAGCGGTATCTCGGAAACAGTAGCCTGAGGTGACACTGGCGACCCGACAAAGGGGGGGAGTGAACCCGGGAAGGAGTGTAGAATGTGAGGCGAGGCGTTGTGTGCCATGAGTAATCAGGCATGTATCTGATGGGTCTGACGCAAGCTTCAAAGCGAGCGCGAAAAAGCCAATCGACAAGACAACCCCAATGCGCGCGTTCTCGGCGAGTTCATCCCACCCGTTCGTGCACACGTCGAACGGTGGAGAAGTCCTACGGACCTATGGGATCTACAAGTCCCTTACGTGTTTGGCAAAGTGCTCCTGGAAATGTTTGGCAAACCCATTGCGAAGCTAACGAGATCCCATAAGACGAACAGCAGTGTCTCTTCCGTCTTGCCTGGTAGAACCACGGTCGACCTATGTTTGTAGTTTGTGGACTCCAAGGGCTGGGGCGGAGGCGAGCAGTGCCACTCGTACCTGTGGTTCGTCTACCTCAAGGAGGTCAGCGCCTCGGTCGAAATTTAGTTGCCGTGGAATGAGTACTGTGGCTAGAGACGACCGCAGCTAGCTGTATGCTTGTACATGACAATTTATACCGTTTTGAGCGGCTAGACGTTAGGTTCGATGTACTGACTTTTTGTTTCATGTGGCATTCGTACAACATTTTGCGGTAATCTACTCCGGCACCCCGGCATCATCCGCAGAAATTCTCCTTGGATTCGAGGTCCTTCTACAGGTCGACGAAACACATCTATCTACGGCGGTGTTGGTTTCCTTGGTCCCCCGCTCTGGAGCCGACACATTTTGATGTCGGCCGTGGATCTGCAAGGCCGAAGAAGCACCGTTGGTCAGGAAGGAACTCATATCGAGCACTCCTCGATGAGCACTTGCCGGTATGCAAGAAAGTTCATGGGGTCGGATGGGTCCTATTGGTTGTACAGCACATTATACCGTTGTCTCGTTCTTGTGGAACCTCCCCCGCCTTTCACACGTTCACGAGGATGGCGCGAATGAATGGGCTCATTGGGTCATCCACGTTGAGCATCTCGCACACGCTTCTTATCTACAACGCGTATCGTTCGAGTTGTCCGGCGGTATCATGTACTTTCACGCCTTTTCATGCCAAACCGTGCACATTTATTATTTCTCCTGTAGTGCCTGCCAACCAGACATGACGCGTCCACTGTGTCATCCATGTACTACTGTAGCAATGCCAACCCCGTACCACATCAAGCAGTACGTAATCACCTCTTCCAATGTCGCTACCTGCCGGGTACCTAGCGAGGTTTATGCTCTACAGGATACGTTTAGGGACATTTCCACGACGAGGGCGTCTATGCGGCGAGACCAGCGGTCACGATCGTACGAGCACCTTTCCCTACCGGGGCAGTGAACACCGTCAGCCATGATTCGCGATGAAAGTTTTCAAGAATCACATTTTCAATGGGGGAAAGCGGAAGGGAAACATAGAAGAATCTCCGCGCCGAGGTCGATCTCGCAACATGTGCATTGAACCGTCTCTCGTTCCGGGCCGCTGAACTACTCGGTCGGCCGGTTATTTTCCGGTTGAGAGTACTTGTAACTTCCCATCAGAATACCTCAAATCGTTCTTCCACAACATGTACAAGTGAGGTGTACAAGTGAGGTGTAGCCATTCTCCGTCTTCCTGATGATACAAGATAGAAACCTTCGACGGGTAATGTGTGTGGAGCTACACGATGCACTGACCCCTGTACAAGCTGCTGCGATTATTTCCTCCGGCACCCCATCAGAGTCAGCATTCTTCACAGCAGCTTTCATTGGACGGAATTGTTGACCTTCTGGATGTCGATGAGGCACAGGTCAAGTGGCACGGCCTTCATCTACCCCTGCCCTTGGATTCCACATATTACGAACAGCATATCGACCGTGGTTTCTACCAGGTCGGAAGACACAGTTCGTCTGATGAGATCTCGCGAGCTTCGTGATATGCCCTTGTGGAGGGTGGCCACCTATTTCCAAGGAGCACTTTGCCAAACCCAAAATGTAAGTGAGATCCCTAGGTCCGCGGGACCTCCCCACCGTTCGTTACGTTCATGAGGATGGCATCAACGCACCAAGAATGGGCGCATTCGGGTAGATAGTGTATGTATGTCGATTGGCTCCTTCAAGCTCGCTTTTCTGCTCACATCAAACACGAAAGTATGTCTTCCAACTCATGACACACAACAACTCAATTCCCTGATCCACCTACGTCTCTCTCCCCAAGCTGCACCTTCCTTCCCGGTGCCACCCCATCCCTGCGTTGGGTGGGTCGCTCGTGTCACTTTATGCAATGCGCATGCAACCTTCCGATGTCGCTGTTTAGCTGGTTTGGGTACTGGCTGAAAATGATCACACGGCAAGGCTGGAAACATCGCTCCATCGGCTTTTACTCGATATGTTTCGCGAAATTTTACTGCAAGGTGTCTATGTTGTGAGGCGAACGATCACGGCCGAAAGTGAGAAACACGTTGGCCTCTGCCGCGGCAGTGAATGCCCGGACAGTGTGCGAGTGGCGACGATCAGGCAGCATGTGTTGAAGAATCACGGCTTCACGCGGGGAAAATGGAAGGAAGAAAAGGAAAGAAGCTCCGCGCCGCGATCGATCTCGCGACGTGTGCATTGCACCGTCTGTCGTTCTTGGCCGCTGAACCCCCAGCCGGTTTCACAACCGTAACCGTGCGCCTATCCACATTTTCTTCGAAATTCTGCGTGGAGAGATGAGACCAATTCTTATGGAAGGTCTGCAGTTGCTGAGATTTGGGTTTGTAGTGAGGCCGATAGAACATACCAACCCCTATGGTGCTGTTATTTGCCGGAAAAACACGATTTGAAATCGTATATACCCCGGAATCGCTCTGCCCGCTACGATTTGGAGGCCCAAATCGCTGCAAGATTTTTTCGGCGACGATTTGGGTTTGATGCCGTTCTTGGAGGCGTGCCCTACTACAACGGTTGAATCTCGCCACCTCTCATCATCACCACCACATCAGTACACCAGCACCGTCCTCCCGTGGACGTACAGCGCGCGCATCGCGACTGCTTCCCTACGGCCAGCCGCCTGGTTGCCGCCACCCTAAGGCCATGGATGACGACAGCAGCCTACCGCTTATCCTGGGCGGGGTTATCGCCGTTGCCATGGCCATCTTGAACCACCAGCAATTGCTTGCGTTTTGCCATCACGAATCTCTCCAAGATGGGTCCCTTCTCTTCGCCGACGCTACAGAGGAACCTTCGGCGAAGAGGAAGCGGACAGTATATCCTCGTCCCGATTACCACAACAGTGCGTGGGCGATCATGCTCAGGGAGAAGGAGGATGCCCTCGCCGACCCGACTACAAAGGATGCTAGGCTTTTCAGGAGAAGGTTCCGGATGCCGTATCCGATCTTCCTGGAGCTCGTCAAGGAGATCAAGAGCGCTGGTTGGAAGGGCTTTACTACGGACGCAACGGATTTGGGTGGGAGGGGCACCAGGCCCTGCATCCCCGTGGAACTGAAGGTGTGTATCGCTGTTCCCTCATGATGATGGGTTTTCGTGTCGTTTGACTGTAGGTATGCAATTCATTTGAAATGCGTCCACGGCGCACGCGGTTGTTGAACGCGCCTGCTAGAAGATGAACATTCCCACTGCTGCTGTTGCTGTTCGGTAACGGATGTATATACGATGAATGCCTATGTGTAACAGCAGAGCAGTGACACATGTATGCTGCTGCCAGTCCGCCTCCTATTTACAGCGACAGTCGCGCACCGTCGATGAGCTCAGCCTCGTTCAAAGCCGAGAAGTAGTCCGGGGGTTGTAACAAAAAAACAACGCTATGTAATCCAGGCACTCATTTTCTGTGGCATATCTATATGCATAGCATAGGTACATGATGTGTTGCTCTACTTTCGTCAACTCGTGTCTTCGCCGTCCACAACAGCCGTCGGGCAATGCGTAGGCTAGAGGTACAGGAGTCTCCTTTGAGAAAATCCTGTAGTTGACTACACACGCTTGGTATTTTGACAGCTCAACCCGACCCCTGGTCTCGCCGTGTTGTCTCCACAACGAAAGAGTCTCTTTCACTATCTTCGACCTGGTGTGAGACTTCAGTTTCCTGTTATCTGTAGCGATGAACCAGTCCTGGACAACCACCTCCCAGGGCGTTGACCGTTGATCCTCCCGCCCCTTCGCCCTTTTTTTTTCTCTTGTTGACAAAGGTGCTGGCGTGTCTGCAGGTTCTCGGTCGCGGCAACTTCTTCGATGACATCCCGCAGTTGTCGTTCATCAGCGAGCAGACGATCCAGAGGGTGTTCCACGAGTTCACCCAGCGCTTCGCGCTCGAGTTTTTTCCGAAGCACGTCAAGTTTCCGCAGGGTGCCCACCTCGAAGAGATCCTGCGTGAGTACAAGGATGTCGGTTTCGGGGGATGCGCTGGGTCTATGGACTGCACCCACATCCACTACCAATCCGCCCCAAACTCGGGTCGGCACAGCTACGTGGGGAAGGAAGGCTTCGCGACCGTAGCCTTCGAAGTTGTCTGCGACCACAAGCTTCGGTGCCTTGGCGTTTCCAAGGCTTTCCCAGGAGCCATGAACGACAAGACGATCGTCATGTTCGACGAGTACGTGAGGAGGATCAAGACCGAGTGCAAGGACGTGCCGTTCACCCTGCTGGGCGAGGATGGGTCTGAGTTCGAAGAGCGTGGCCTTTACTTGATCGTCGACGGAGGGTACCACAAGGTGAGCAGAAATAAATTGTTGTGTGTGCACTCGTCGTTTTACAGTAGTTCGATGCATGGTATTGTCTTTATAAATTGTTGTGTGTGCACTCGTCGTTTTACAGTAGTTCGATGCATGGTATTGTCTTTGGGCGTCCACCTCTTCGTCGAGCTAACGCATGTTTTGTCCTGCATGTCTCTTGAGTTGTTGGGATAGCTTTCCCCAGCACATCTCTCCTACTCGGATGCGCACGTGTCCTCATGGTTTGGTCATTGCGCGTGCAGGAAAACAAAACCTGGAATCCAAATAGTTTTTCGATACCCTCGCCATTTGCGTCCTTTGATTCGTTTGTCTCGATATTACGCGTCCCATGTGGTGTACGTTTCCACTGCATGCGAGTGGTGACGCAACCCCCCCCACCCCCGCAACAGATTCACGAGGGGGTCCCTTTTGCCGGGAAAGCGTCATGCTCCCAAGCAGTCAACGATGCACGGATTCTCTTTCACCCCTCTTGTGCCATGGCGCAGGGGCTAACCGCATGTTTCCCGTCCACTTGTTTGAGTGGAAACACTGTTGAAGGTGCTCACACACACACCGCGCCCCCCCCCTGCCCCCCGCCCCCCTCGCCGCAAACCGACGACGCTCGTCACAGTGGAGGTGCCTGCAGTGCCCCGTCCAATTTCCCGTGACCCAGGACGAGCTAGCCTTCCGGAAGCAGCTGGAGTCCGTGCGGAAAGATATCGAGTGTTTCTTCGGAATCCTCAAGGGTCGTTTCCGGATCTTGAAGATGCCGCTGTTGTACCGCGGGATCCACAAGCTGGACTGCATCTTCCAGACCTGCTGCGCCCTGCACAACATGCTGCACTCGTACGACGGGCTTTCTCTGCTGGAGAAGGACTGTGAATGGGCGGGCGCCGACGGCGACCTCGACCCCTGGGTGACTACCCCAGAGGCGTAGTCGGCCGCCGACAACAGCCCCGACCTGCACCTGTTCGAGGACGACTTCAAGGACCTGCAGGGCAAGCTGGTCACCAACCTGGCCGAGATGAAGAAGAGGGGGACTGTTGGGTGGAGGAGGTCGTAGAGCGTTTTGGACATTGCTTCGTGTCGCCCGCTGTTTCTGGAACACAAGAGGGGGGTGCGTAGAGCTTGGAGCGCGGTGAGCAGGAGAACGGTGGATGGTGTCTACGGGGGTTGGACAGGTCCTCCCTTTGACACGCGGCACCGCGAAGTGTTTTGGCCGCAAAGTCGTTTGGCCGAAGGGGCGATCTCTCAGGGGTGCTCCAGTGAGACGTGGATGTTTGCCGTCGCCGTGGCTGTGTCGGGGAAATTTGGGTAGTCACATCCTTTCCGTTTGTAGCCGTAAGTTGCAGCCATGCCGCTGCTAACACCGGGTTTTGTCGCGTGTCTGTGTCCGACATGGTCCACATGCACCTTTCCATGATTTTTTTTCAAGGCAACCAAGGTGCCCCCTCTCAAGATAACGGGTGTTCCCTCCAGGCGTATCTCCTAGCTGTTTTTGATCGCAGACTCTCCCTCAATTTTTCGGAGAGAAAAACGGAGTTTGTTTAACTTTGTAGTCCAAAGGGTTCCTCGGGGTGACGGTGGGTATGTCGGTCGATTCCGGGTTTCGCCAGCTTTCGCAACCGGTTTCAGTATACATATGGAGTTGCGTGTGTGCTTTCCGATGTAGTTGACAACAATGCTGTGATGGCAGGAACGTTCACCCAAAGTGTGAAACTGAAAGCTTGTCTTGATTTTTTGGAGGAGCGATATCCATCCTTGTGACCTCGGAATTGAGCGCCGCAATAGATACCTCATCTCTACTTTGAAGCATTTGCTTCCCCTGGACACGGTATGCCTTACTATTCAGCAGCTTGGTGGGAACGATCCTATTTCAAACTCCAACTTGCTTATGGATCACACAATAACTTGGATTGAAGATGTTGTACACTTTTCTCTGTATTGCCTTTTGTCGCTGTTGCTGGATCATGTGCTGGTGCTACCCCCCACCTCTCGCCAACTCTTTGGAAAACCTGTGCAAGTCACGTGATCGCCGCGAAGAATGAAAACGAAAAACAAAAATCACGGACTTAACACGCCATGCCATGCACCGACCACGGCCGGCAAACGTCCCCCCCCCCTCTTGTCTCTTCTTGGACCTTGATACGCCGCGGCAAGGCCGCTACCACAAACAACACACCATGAAACCAAACTACATGTAGATGCAGGGGAACACCAC